GAAGCATAAGCACCCGAAGGTGCGAAGATGCTTGATGTCCATTAATGCGAAGATACGGAGTTTGATAGGCAATTGCGGAGGACAGTAACCGATTTATTAGGTAGTTGGCAGTGGAGACGGCTTCCGCCCAGAACGTCGAGGGAAGGTGAGCTGCGTGCAGTAGCGTACGCGTTAGTTCGAGAAGATGTCCGTGGTTCCGTTCAGTGGTGCCGTTTTGTTCCGGCGTGTGAGGGCAGCACATTTGATGAGTGGTGCCTTGTTGAATAAAGTAATTTCGAAAAAGCATTGCTCGTATATTCGCCTCCTCCGTCCGGGCGGAAGTGTTGAATTTGCGTTTAAAAGCTATTTTTAACAAGGTTACATAATTGTTCATATTTAGAAAGAACTTCATCCTTAGAATGCAACAAATAAAGCCATGTGAAGTGTGTAAAATCATCTATGAATATGACATAGTAGCGAAAGCCATTCATGGAGGGTGCTGGAGCCGGACCCCAGACGTCCAAGTGGATGAGCTGAAAAGGCTTAGTACAAACGGACATGCTAGATGAAAACAGCTGTTTATTTCTTTTAGAAAGATTACAAGAAATGCATAAAGAAGAAGTACATCTAGATTTAATGGCAGAATCTAAATTGGCTAATTTATGCATTATTCGGCTGTTGCGATGTCCTAGCCTAGCGTGCCACTAGAATCTGGAGGAGCTATCTGCCGCAAGAGCTGTTTGTTTAGGCGGGATAGGAGCCTTGAGACGATACAGTCCATTGCGTTTGAGACTGCGTAGAAGAAGACGATTGTCCTGAAGATCCTTCACAATAAATTCATTAGCATTAAACAAGAATGAGACATTGTTGTCCGCAGTCAGTTTGGCAACCGATAAAAGATTATGAGATAGGGAAGGAACATGAAGAATATTATGAAGATAAAGCTTACGATGAGACTCGGGAAGCGGCAGGATCCCTTGACCCGAGTTCTGGAATGGAAGATTGCTTCCGTTTGCTATCGAGATGGAATCCAGTCCGTTGTACGGGGACGGGTGCTGGAGATTCATCACATCCGAGGTTAAGTGAGATGAGGCACCGGAATCTACGATCCATTCACTCGGAGACAGGTGTTGCTGTTGAACCATGAGAGCCCTGGAATTAGACGGAGGAGCGTAGGTGAGATTACACCTGTGCCAGCAGTTGAGTGCCGAGTGGCCGGATTTCTTGCAGATTTGGCATTGTGGCCGAGTTGTTTGGGTTCTTGATGTGATCGGATTGTCGGTTGAGCTTCGAGATCGTTGGAAGGACGATTTCCCTCTGGGCTTCTGATTCTTGGAACGATACCCTATGTTCCGATTTGAGAACAGGGCGGTGGTATCGGATTGTTGAATTTCTTGATTGTGTTGGTGGTGAAGATTTATTTCTTCACTACAGAGCAGCGAATAGAGATCGTCGAGACTAATGGGCTGTAGAGGCGTTCGGATCGCAGTTTTGAACGGATTGTATGTTGCCGGCAATCCGATAAGTATGTACAAAACTATGTCTTCGGTGTCCACTTTGGATCCGGCAGCTGCGATGCTATCAACGATCTTCTTGATTTGATCAAGATATTGCTGCATTGTCCGAACCTTCATCTGCATCTGATGAAGTTTGCTCTTCAGCTGTATCACCCGCGAGCGGTTCGTCGGTTGAAGTCGGCGTTCGAGAGTGAGCCATATTTCTTGTGCCGTGGTGAGCGTGAGCACATATGGTAAAATTGGCGCCAAAATGGTCGACAAGAATGCGGAGACAAGATTCCGATCAATGAGTCTACACCGATTGTAGGCTGTTGCTTCTGACTCCGGTGGGCACGTAGAGAGACCGGTGAGATGTTGTTCGTACCTGTTTGCGGAGAAATGTTGATGGAGTAGCAGTCTCTAGATTCTCCGGCGTGAGTTAGTAGGAACCGGATTTTTTATGTTTGAAATCAAGAATTTGAGGTGAGGAGAGATGATGAGCTCAGTTTCTTGCCCGAAGACGCTTGATGTTGTCCGGCGAGAAACTGCAGAGCTTTCTTCAGCCATGGCGACGACGGAGGAAGAAGGGTGCTGTAGAGCTAATGAGCTCTGATACCAAGATAGAATTCTTGACAGAGGAAATCTCAGTAGAGAGTAGAGAAAGGAGAGAGACGGAGAAATGAAAGAAACAATTCTTATTCAATTATTACAGCCAACTGTCTACATATATATAGAGTTACACTTAAGATATAAAGCCAAGAAAGTGCATACGTGGCAGGTTCCTTAACAGTTTGAAGGGTAAACCGTAAGCAATTACAGCACTTAAATTATGTTGCTGCTCATTACTTGCTTTCCTGCTGATTATTGAATACTTCCTTTTGCATGAGCATTTATTTTGCTTCTCTCAATCGTATTAAAAGAATTAAATAATAAGCTTCTTTATAATTGAGGCTATGAAGATCATCGGGACTGATCACTCTCAGCCCTCCCATTCTGCTTAGACAAGTTAAAAACAAAACAGAACAAAACAACCGAAGAATGTGCAAGTTTTTCTAATTAAACTTGCTTTGCTTGTGCAGAACCGGTTAAATTTAGTACACGTCTTGAAAAAAACATCTTCTTTTCTATTCATTAAGTAAACTTGTTGAATTCATTCAAATCATCCTTATCGTAATCTGCTAAAACTGATAAAATATATGAAAATTTGGTGCTTTTGCTCAGAATTGCTCACTATTTCCGTAACTTTCATAGCAAACTCAAAAGGTTCTATCAACAGTATGAGAAGATTAAACAAAATACATATAAAGATAGAGCTACTGAAGTTAGAGAAACGAACAAATTGAAGAATTTAACAGAATATGCATTTTTTAAGCAAAATCAAAACAAAAAAAAATTCCTTTTGAAATAGTCTAAGAATATATTTCTTACGGCTACACAGTTCAATTTATTTGATTGTAAAAGCTATTTCTCATTATGCATGATACAATTATGAGAACAAGAAAAAAAAAATTTATTGAATGCACTACAACAAATCAACTTGACTCACATTATGCATGATACAATTATGAGAATGCCAAAATTACAGTTTTAAGATCATGATTACAAAAATCAATCTATGCATGAGAAAATGAATCTATCTATAGCCTATTTATAAGAAGTTTTGGCCTGTTGCATTTGGGCGTACTCTAAAATTGCTCTCTCAAAGTGCTGAAGCTCTTCATAGCTCATAATTTGAGCATCAACTCTGTTGAACTAGAACGGCAGATTCTTTCCAGCCATGGCTTCAGCAAAATCAAACTCCCAATGATTTCCTGCCTCTTTCTCCGGGGAGATTTCTAACTCACGGCGGAGGAGGGAGTCGGCTATGGTGTTGGAGCAATAGAGCTCTTCAACCATGGCTTCGACAGAAGCAGAATTCAAAGCATCTTCTTCTACATCTTTTTCTGGGTATGAATCAAATTGAGAGCAGAAGTAGGCGTCGGCTGTCATGTCTTCAGCAAAAGCAGATTCCCAATCAACTTCGCTCTCTTTCTCTTGCGAAATGTCAACTTGAGAACAAAGGAGAGAATTCAGGATTTCAGCGTTAGAGCAATAAAGCTTCCCAGTTTAAGAGAAAGTGAGGATCCCGATTTTGGCTCCGGATAAAATCGAGAGCTCCTCCGCCTTCTTAAACAGCCATTTACGGCGCTTTGAAAAACAAACCATTCGTGCTTCGGCCTTCTCTATCAATTTATTTTCCAACTTTTTCCTTCCTTTTTCGGCCATGAGGAAGACTTTTTTGCAGACAGAAAATGGGAAATCGGAAAGAGGGCAAAGCTCAGGAGAAAATGAGAAACAAAGATAGAAGTTTCTAAACTGCATGTAAGCTATACGAACCTCGGTTATTCTTCCATTTCCATAACACGATCAAATCTTTTTGGCGGAAAACAAATATTCTGCTATTCAAATTTTAATTTCTTCAATATCTTCCAAATTTCTTTTTCTTTCGTTTGAAAATTCTCCACCATAGGATACAAAATCTAGTAATGAGTCTCAAACCCAATCTATCATTTCCTTCACATCTTGTAATTGTTTGGTTAACACCAAAATGTATGTCCTTATGGAAGCCTCAATAAATGGCCCTTGGTGGCAAAAAACAGGGGTGGTTAACACATATAAACTTATACACTTAATTGAATTTATTAACCAACAAACATGAACCACAGTCTTGTAAAAATATAAAAGAGAACAGCCTTTGATAAACAGTTTAAAACAACAAGCAAGTGATTTCACAGTGATTGATAAATTGTGAGTAGATCAATCTCACAAGAGAGTATACTTGTCAAGCCAGATATTTTGCTTGGAGAATCTGTTGTTAAGCCTTTTTTTTTCCTTCTTGTGTAGGAAGAACTCAAATCATAATGTAGCTACACCAGCAAATGGATCAAAGTGGCTTCTCTGAATTAAGATCATGAGAATATATTCATGAACACAACTAATGAAGAATTAGTCTTTTATTATAAATGAACGGACAAGAAAAAAAGAAGAAGAGCAAACTACTGAAACCTGCTTTGCTTGTGCTGAAACTGTTAAATTTAGTAGACTTGTTAAACAAAACCATCTTCTTTACTATTCATTAAGTAAACTTGTTGTTCTCTGCATTCAGCGAGGTTGCTGTACTGATATGCAATATTGAAGCTGATTTACTTATGTTGAATATGTTATTGTTATTAATTTTTCCAGAAATCTGCCAAAAGCTTGATTACTGTTTGTTGAATTCATTCACATCACCCATATCGTAATCTGCTAAAACTGATAAAATATATGAAAATTTGGTGCTTTTGTTCAAGATTGCTCGCTATTCCCATAACTTTCATAGCAAAATCTGAGAGTTTTTATCAACAGTATCAGAAAATTAAATAAAATACATATAAAGATAGAGCTACTGAAGTTAGAGAAACGAACAATTGAAGAATTTAAACGAATATGAATTTTTTAAGCAAAATCAGAACAAAAAAGAAAAATTTATTGAATGCATGATACAAACCAATCCAACTCCCATGATGCATGATACAAACCGACTTAACTCACATTATGCATGATACAATCTATACATGAAAATGCCTCAATTACAATTTTCAGACAATGATTACAGCAAACTATCTATACATGAAAATGCATTCTATGAATGAGCTACTGCATCTGTTCATACTCAAACAAATTGCCGTAGTTTTTGGCCAACTGCATTTGTTCATACTCCAAAATTGCTCTCTCGAACTTCTGGAGTTCCTCATAGTCCATTTTCTGGACGTCAGGTTTGTTATACCAGAAAGCCCGAACATTTCCAGTTAGGGCTTCAAGATAATCAAGCTCCCAGTAGTTTTCGGCCTCTTTCTCAGAGGAGATATTGAACTGAGGATCGAGGAGGGAGTTGAGAGTTTGAGCATCGGAGCAGTACATCTTTCCGGCCTGAGAGAAAGCGAGAACGGCAACTCTAGCACCGGATAAAACTGAGAGCTCCTCCGCCTTTTTGAACAGTCCCTTGCGGCGCTTTGAGAAGCAAACCATTCGGGATGAGCTATTCTCTATTAGTTTGTTCTCCACCTTTTTTCTCCCTTTCCCGATCATCTTGACGGACAAAGACAATCCAGACGAAATCAGATATAGGAGACCGCGAACGAATATTTGCAGAGAGAAAATGAGAGATCGGAAGTAGGCAGTGCTCAGAAAGCGAGAGGGAGAAAGACAGACAGAGAGGATTGAGGCTTTCTGAATCTCAGATAAGGTATGCAGACCTTAGCCTATTCTTCCAATTTATAGACGCTGCACTGATCGATCAAATCTTTTTGGCGGAAAACAAATATTCTGCTATTCAAATTTTAATTTCTTCAATATCTTCCAAACGGTCTTTTTTTTCGTTTGAAAATATTTCCGTCAGTCTTTTGTCGTCCAGAAAATTTTTATAATGTTTTTTTAGTGAAAATAATCTGAGATTATTCTAATTCTATCTCCGAATTTTATTTTTTCATTTCAAAATTTTCCGTTGAATTTATATTCAAAATTTTAAATTTTATTTAGGATTAATTATTTAAATGAACTTAATCTGTAATTATATCTCTTTTGTAAATTATTAATAAATGATCAGACCCCTTATTAATAGATAATAATTTTTATAAAATTACGATATAATTAATTCATTAATAATTAGTGATACGAACTCAAAAAAGCATCTTGATCGGGCACGAATCTCAATGCAAAATCAAATTGGAAACTTCAAAAATTAAATTCGAGGTTACTTGAACTCCGATTTCAACTAAATTATAGTCAAACTAAGCGTCTCGGAAATACGAACCCAACGACACCAAATTCGACTCATCCATACACTACATTCCAACTCAAGGACATCAACAAAAAATGTTTCCAGCTGACCTAAGTAGTCTGCCAAAACAAATTCCTGAATTCATCACAGCCGTTCGTGGAAGGACACCTCAACCTCAACGGCGGTTGATATTGTTGCCTCTCTTATCCTTATCTTTATTCTATTAAAAACTATTTAGTTATGAATTATGTACACAGAAAACAGTTTTTAAAGTCAACGAATTTAGCATGGTTGAAAGTTCTCTGTTTCATTAATGTTCTTCATCGGTTTCTCAAATCCCTTCTCAGCTGCCTATGTTAAATGCTTTCTAATAAGTTATGTTGCTCCAAAGGAATTTATCATCCTTTCAATGCAAATCATTTTTGGCAAGCCAAAGTTGCTAAAATTGTATATTGGTGGTGCTTTACTTTAAAATTCTTAAATTTTTCTTAAGTGCTTGAAAAATAACTTTTTTTTTGAGTTGAAATGTACTGTTTATTTAGTCTCTTTTGTGTTGAATCCTTTGGGTATTCATTTGAATTTATCGAAAAAGTATCATTCACATTTCTTATCCAATTTTTATCAAAGAATCATATCAAAGATCCTTAGACGTAAAAAATCAGTTATGAGCCTCATTCCTCAATCTATTTGGCAACGAAGTATTTGTAAAAATTGGTTCAAGTTTATGCTACTATGATTCATCACTTAAAGTTACAAGATTTAGATAAAATCATTCTTATTTTCATTAAATTCAAAACCTAAAGTATTACTCTCGATCGTAAGCCATGTAGATTTAAGGCTTTGGTTTTGGAGACGACTTCTTTATGCCCTCTTAAAGTAAAATTTTGACAAAAAAATTAATTTTGTAATAAAATAAAAAAGTAGCTTTTAAGAACAGCAATTAAAAAAGTCTGTACGACTTTCGTTTGAGTAGCATGGCCACTACTTTTTTTGTTATTTTTTTTACAAAAAAAATTTGATGCTTAAGAAAATCTGCTTTAGAAAATTATTAAGATAGTTTGTTCTCAAACGAAAGTCTTAGTTTGGCTCTAAAAACTATAGGCATAGTATTGGGTAGCCTAAACATTGAACGAGAATTAAGGCTTCGGTTTGGGACGGCTTTTTTTGTGCTTTTTTGAAGCAGCTTTTCTAGTACAAAAAAATAATTATTAAACTAGAGAAAGCTGCTTAAGAAGCAACAAGAAGCCGTCACCAAACGAAAAACCTAAGGTTTGTGTACTCTTACCCAATTAACGAATAATACTTGAGTAGGGCCAAATCTCCTTAAGTCTCATATTATTTATATATAATTTCAGAATCCATTGGTTTTAGATTTACAATTTTATATATTGGCTGCACAGTGTCTAACATTTTTGGTATGTTACAATTTTTATACTTGAGAAATAGGCTTTTACAACCAAATAAATGAAACTGTCGCGTAGCTGTAAGAAAATATTTTTTTGTTAGAATATTTCAAAAGGAAAATAAAAAAAATTATAATACCTCAAAAACTTTCAAAAAAAAATTTATTATTTTCTTATTAAAACCTTCTACAACTACTTTCTAAAAATTACAATCTACGACAACAACACTTCTTCAGAGAATTTTACTTTGAAAACTTATCTTAGGATAATTTTTGTACACTTGATCCTTTATTAATTAAACAACTTTTTTAAGACAGATACTAATGTTGGCGGGTTTGAATATACGCGGCGATAGAGTTTAACTATATGTCAACTTAAGTTTGTCTACCGGCATTATCTAGGCTCACGAACAAAAAGCACAAGATTTTTTACGTTTGGGGAAAACCCTGAAGGGTGGAAAAAACTATGAGGCCTAGCCCAGTTTTTGAATAATTGATTCTACTAGAAATATTAAGTCGGATTACAATGGGTTTATTCGCCTCGAGGGGCAATAGATTACAAATGAACAACTGATACGAATAGTAAGCATGGGCCGGCGTGTGAGCTGTCAGGTCGTAGGATGGCAGTCTTGACAGAACTCGGGAATCAGAGTTGTATTGGTCTGATGAAGGGGGCCTCGATAAGCGAAGGTGAGGGGCCTCTTTTTGCAAAGGTGAAGGCCATCTTGACGAAAAGGTGAGGGCCTCATGCGTGAAGGTGAGGGCCTCTGCGAAGGTGAGAACTCAGGTAGTGGCTCGTAACACGGCGAGGCTTTCGGTGGAGGCTCCGGCGAGGCTCCGCGAGGTCCGGGCTGATATTGAACCCCTTGATCATGGACCGTTCGTGAAGCATTTGGCCCTTAATGGACTTTGTGAATTCATGAATTACTTGTTGGGATTTGTCTTTCGTCGAGTACACCGCCGATTTGACTAATAAAGCTAGTCATATTTTAAAACAGTTTTTGGTAACTCAAACAGCGATATGAAGCTTGTCCAACAGCGCTTTGGGTCCTTGATTTGGGTTCATGTCGGCTCTGGATTGAGA